ACCTTAAACCCTAAACCCGAAGGGTTAAAACCGGGAAATCCGAAAAAGAGTCTCCAAGGCCTGATCTAACAAGAAGAATCAGGGAAACCTTGGGTTGCTGTTCTGGTTTCGGGTTCTGGGTGGTTTTTTGGGTGTTTTTTTGGGTGTTTTTTTTGGGTTTTTGGGAGGGTTTTGGGGGTTTTGGGGGGTTTTGGGGGTTTAGGGTTTAGGGTTTTGGGCTTGGTGGTGGCATCTTAGACAAAAGACGTCTTTTTGGGTTTCGGGCGCAGCAGTCGAGACATGAGGCTCTGAGAAATGGGCGCGTGGAGTCCACTGACATCGTCCGGGGAAAGAACACCACGATCTGGCCGGGGTGCTCAGAAGGTTGTGGCCCAATGCAGTCCCAAAACCCTCAAAACCCCCCTAAACCCTAAACCCTAAATTCCCTAAACCCAAAACCCCTAAACCCTACCCGAAGCCGCCAGACTCCTGATTTCTCGCGCTTGGGCCTGCCCTAAACCCTAAACCCTAAACCTTAAACCCTAAACCCTAAACCCGCAAGCCAGAGATCTCAACCTCAAACTCTCCCGGCTTCGACTCGTAAGTTCCTCTAGACCCGTAAGCCCCCATGTATGGTGTAGAGTTTACAGTTTAGGGTTTAGAGTTTTGGGTTAAGGATTACGGGTTTAGGGTTTAGAGTTCAGGGTTTAGGGTATAGGGTTTAGGGCTTCGACTCGTAAGTTCCTATATTACGTAGGCCGCCTTCTTAAGCCAGCGACAGGAGCAGGAACTGGAAGAGCAAGAGCAAAAACTCCACAGCCGCTTTAACGGCAACGGCAACGGCATCGGCAACCAGAGCCTGCTAATAACAGGCGCGAGCCTGCTTCCCCCCGTCCGTCCCCCAAGAACACCAACAGCAATATAGGAACAGGAAACAAATGAGGTTGACAACCCATCAACCCTAAACCCCTAGACCCCAAAGCCCCAACCCAATCACGGGCACGAACGTAGAAGCCAGAATAAAGACCAATATTGTTCCCGAGGGTTCCTTGTTGTAACCATACATTCTAATGTTAAAGCCCCTACATCATAGAAACCTTGTCGTATCCCTTATCGATAACCGCTACAAAGTCGGGCCCTCAGAGCCACCCCAAACCCTAAACCCCAAACCCCTACACCCTAAACCCCCAAACCCCTAAACCCTAAACCCTAAACCCCCAAATCCCTACACCC